GCTATGACAAGTGTATCAGTAATGATGACAGTATTTGTTCTTAATCTGCATTATCGTGGCCCAAAAAAAAATGAAATACCATTTTGGCTTCAACAATTATTAAGTTTATCATTAGCAAATATTATTCGATCGTATCAAAGAACAAAAAAGATAAAAATTTTTCATAAAGATAAACGAGATTCATCGAAGAAAAATAAGATTCATGACAATGACAGTGAAGATCCAACAAGCCGAACATCAGCAAATGGTGTTGTATTATCATATACAAATATAAATGAAACAAAAACTAAAATACGAACAACAACAGATGACGTAAGTATATTTAACTATCAATTTAATTTTTCAATTATATCTTATTTCTTATAAATTAACAAAAAAAAAAGAGTTTTATACTTATAACATAATAATTTAATGGTATATTGAAGTGGAAAACGACATAATTTTTTAAAATATGAATAGAAGAATGGTATACTTGAAAAATCTGTTTTTCTACATGATAAAATCTGTGTTACGTTTAAGTAGAACATCACCGTCATATGATTCTGATGTTTAATATTATTCTTTGAGAATAGTAGAATAGGATTTATTTTTAAAAAATTTTCTGTATATTTTTCTTTTTCAATTAAAAAGGCAACTGCAATGCAAATGGATGCGGATGATAATCAAGAACGAAGATCTGTAGATAATAAAAATAAAAATCGTTTAAGTTTACCTCGAGAAGAAATTCATCTTAAGAATCGTTTATCATCTCGAACAAGTTCAATTCATACAGTTCATGATGAAATACAAGATACATTACATGGTTTATTACGTAAACAAAAAGAACTTGAACATGATCAACAAGTAACAAATGATTGGCGTGCAATGGCAACAAAAGTCGATAAAATTCTTTTTTATATTTTTCTTCTTTTAACGGTTATATCAACATTAGGTTTACTTGTTGTTGTACCACTTTTTCGTACTAATATTCAACAAAAAACCAAATTATGGAATGGTTCACGGCGACCTCCTGTTTAAGTCCCGGCCTTTTTTTTATCGAATTTAAATTTGATAAAACTTTATATATTTTGAAATTTTTTGAAAAACAGAAATTTTCGCTAGATGGGAAATATATATCCTATCGGGACTTAAAGGGTTAAACAAATATATATATATTTATTTATTTATTTGTGTATTTTTTTATTAATAAAAAATATTTTTCGTCCTTTACTATTATTGTTTATGTTTAATTAAAAGAGTACACTTTCGATGCTCAACTGTATTTCCTCGAGAAATATAAATTTATAAATTGTATATATTTAATTAATTAGATACTAATATTGAATAAACAAGTTTTTACAACATAAAAGATTTTCTTTGTTTGCAACAAAAAATATATGAATGATGTCTGAAAAAAACTTCAAACATATTGTGAAATGAATATATAGCAATGGCACTACCAAGCGTCTTACAATTTGTACCAAATATGAAACGTTAACTTCGTTTCTCCAATTCAAATACAATTGTTTTTATGATCATATGATGTCATATAGATTGATACCTAGATGAAGTATGATACTAATTTGTCTAGCTAACAGAAGAAGAACAAATAGATTTCGTTAATTTAATTATTTAGAGAAAAATGAATTTACTTTTATTAATGTACAAAAACGATTTCTACGAGATTGTTTGATAAGATTAATCATTCAATATGATTGACAAATTCGAAGAATAGAAGAAATAAATAAGAAAATCCGAACCTTGTTACAAAGTTTATAGTACTATTCAACAAGTGAAAAAAACAAAAAAATATTATTGTATTGTTCTATACGTAGAAGAAGGTATTTTGGAAAAATACATAAATAAATAGATAATAGATTTATTTACAAATAAAAATTCTATGTTATATATTCAATATTCATAAATTTTGCAAATAGAAAAAGAAAGAAGTGATTTTCTGCTTACAAATAGCTCAATTATTCTCTACTAAATTTGATTAATTCCTCTTCGATAAACAATGACAATGTCGTTTCGATTGAGTTAAAGCGAGAAACTAGTATTTATCGTTCGTTATTGACATGTCTATGTAGTAACATATATTTCTTCTATGACATATTTTCAAAGAATAGTATCAAATGAGATTAAAACAAGATTTTTGTCTTTATCATACAGACATAAAAAAAATTATTAAAATCAATATTGATTAAAATATGTTTTTCTATTTATGGGCTAAATGTCAACTCCATTTGTTCCTCATAATTTTATGTATTGATCTTAATAGATATCATGTTTTACTGCTTTTCTAATGAATTTATTGTTGTTTTTCTCAACAGCTAAGCTAATAATTATATTTAATTCGATAAATATCAATATGAGAATCCATGACAAAAAAAGTAAAACGAAAAGACATCACGATAATAAATATAGTACCACTTTAAAATATCTAACATGTTTTTTGTTATCAATGTCATCAGAACAGTACTTTGTTATAGATTATAAAAAGCAGAGCATATTCTCAGTATCAAAATCGACAACTAACACGTTTTAGTTATCAACTTATAGAAGAAGAAAAAAACGTATTCTATATCAAAATGAACATTCCTGATATCTCTTACATTTCACCAGAACAATCCAATACTACTAACCCTAATAAAGTCCAATCTGACGTTAATCATCTACCACCATCGTATATACACCCGATGCCAACATCACCACCGTTTCATACACCACAAGCTCAAACATCACCATTTTATGCATCGCAAGCACAAACTCAAACATTACCACCATTTTATGCACCGCAAGCACAAGCTCAAATATCACCACCATTTCATGCATCGCAAGCACAAACAGTACCATCAAATACAGGATCACATCTAATGCAACCGGGTGCGTATGCACCACCTACACTATTTATTACATCGGGGCCGATGCCATATCAAAATATGATAGTATCTGGTAATTATATTCATCCTGAAACAGTTTATATTCGAGATTATATGATTTGGTCTATAATCAATATATTTCTGGGAGGTTTAGTGCTAGGTATTCCTGCTGTTTGGTTGTCGATGGTAACAAGAGACCGTAAACAACAAGGTGATATTGAAGGCGCTCGAACTATGTCAAAAATTACATTGGCTTTTAATATCGTCATTACTGTTCTATTCTTTATCCTTGCAGCTTTTTTAATTCTTTATCTTGTTATTTTCTCAGATAATACCAGTACTACTATTTACTATTGAAATCTTTTCATTAATCGTATAAATAATTACAGTGATGCTTGATTACTTTTTTTGTCATTCTGTACATTTTTTATGAAAAAACTCTATCGTATATAAAACATAATTATATAATAAAAGGAAAGTCTATCTCTATAAGTAAAAAATATCACTTGTATGTATAATTATAGATAAGAATATAGTACTAGAACTGATTTTTAATTAGATGAAGTTATATTTACTCATCTATGATAGTCTTAGTAGAATAGAATCTTTCGATAAAATGATTGAAATCGAAGAATATGATGAGATTTTATATATATTCATTATTAAGTAAATGCGCCAAAATAAAACGACAATATATATAACATTTGTTACTTTTACTGTCATCATTGAAAATGCTAGAACAAGAAGAATCTGTTGAAGTAATCTGTTATTCTTCTTAACCATGAAGTATATTTATTTAATAATAGATTATATCGAAAAATATGACATTATATTGGATGTCAGGTCAAATAGATTCATGGAAAATTCGTATTGCACTTGAAGAAAAACAATTACAAGGCTATAAAAGTATTATGATTATTCGTTCAGATTATATTGATAAGAATGATAATTTTTGGAAGGATAATGAATATGGCATAGTCAGATATAGATATCTATTGATTTAAATTAATAGAATTTTATTTAGATACCATCGTTAAGAATACAAGATATTACATTGAATGGTGTTTTACCAGCTCTTTTATTTCTTGAAACTTCAATACCATCATTATTACCTGAATTTTCACCAGAAGAAAAAGCTCTAGTACTACAACGAGCATTTGAAGTATGTTAAAGACATTTAAATCATACTTTATTTTATTTTCTTATAAAGAGTTTAACATTTCAACGAATATGTTCCAAAGATCTAATTGGTTATTTATTTTCAATTGATAACCTTAATCCATTATCCATCGATAGAGAACTACGAGAAAAACGGGAAGAGAATCTATTTTTTGAATTAATCCGTTGGAATGATTACATCACAAAAGTAAATTAAAAGTATTTTACCATTTTCTGTATGTCTTCTTTTTTTTTTGACGAATAGAATTCAATGGATAGTATTGCTTATACATCATTTACTCTAGCTGATATATTATTCTTTCCAGACTTAGCATTAGCTGTACGATTTGGTTTATCACTTGATTATTTCTCTCATTTAAGTCAGTAGAATTACTTACATTAATATATACATATATATATATAAGATAAGATAAGATATAACATAGATAATTACTATGAAACACTTTCAAAACGTCCGTCCATACATAAAACATGGCCTTATCATTGGCTTAATACAACACATACATATAATTGGCTTTCGAATATTACTCGATTTTCTAAATTATATCAAAAGCAACTAGAATCAACATCAAATATTTCTGTCCATCAAAACATGGATGATAATATCGAACTATTAACTGAATCTCTCGAAGAAAGGAAAAGTCTTATATGATTAAACATATTATGTAAATTATTCATATGATAAGAATTGTACATCTTCTTTTGTATGTTATTATCATTTAACTAGTTACATGTCTCACGATTATAGTTCAACAATCATCGAAGGTAAATGGAGTAGGTAGAAAAGAACGTCAAGGGTTACGTGTATACATGTTTACTTTGATCTCTCTGTATGCGTATTATTTTTTTTCTTCTTTGACTGATCGGAAGATTTGATATTGAAACAGTTTGGTCAACAAATCTATGCTTGTATGCAAACGATTAGTTTCCGCCTTCACAATCGTTCTCGATCGATTCAAGTGACTTTTGACACGAATCAATTAGGAGAGAAGGAGAAGAACAAAGAGAGAGAGAGATAAAGGAAAAAAAAGAAAGTAAACGATTATAAACATTACATAGATTCGAAACAAAAGAATCTATATAACAATGATTGAAATCAGTTAAGTAAAGAATCTTAAGACACTATCAATGACCAAGGGCGGCAGTGGTAAACCTAAAACACTAGGTAAGTAGATATTGATATTTATCATTATGATAAATCTTCTTATATAAAATATGAAAGGTCGTCTGATATTTGGCGAAAAGAGAAAACAACATGCATCACCATCTCGTCATCGTTCATCCACACGTAATGAAAATAGTACACAAGATTTACCATCATCGAATGGTATTCCAGCAAGTAAAAATGCAATAAATTTACATGATTGGGCTATTTGGCGAATGCAATTGAATGAACAAATGGGTTCGGGAATGGGTGAACGACGATCTGATCTTAAACATATGCGACAATTTCTTCAATCAAATCCATTTTATCAACAACATAGTCGAGATCGATCCAATGGTCACTCTAATGGAGTTCGATTACTTTTCTCAATTCCACATGCTAAACTTAAACCTGAATTTTTAAATGAATCACAAGGAGGAATTAATAAAATTGCTACTATTATTACTACTACTAATAATAATAATCATGCTCATAATGAACTAGAAGATACGGTAGTATATGACCAAAAGAAAATTCGATCAAATAGTGATGATCGAACAACAACAAGTATCAATTCAATTTCAGCAGTACAACCAATGATTGTTGATAAAGCTATTAGTCATTTAATACCTAAAGGATTCATGGGAAATACAAGTGGCTTTCGTCATATTAATGAACAAATGATAGCAGCTGATGGAATACAAACACGGTAAATTTAATAAATATTATTGCATATTTCATAATGTTTATTATTTATATGTTTATATTTTAGTCGATCAGTTCGAAGTTCTTTTACTACATCAGATCGAATTCATTCAACATTACAAAAAGCTGTTAAAGATGGAAATGTTCTCGAAAAAATCAAAGCATTTGAAATGCAAGCAGCTGCAGCGGCTCAAGCTGAATCAATAACAAAACTAGGTGGTATAAATCATCGAATTCAACCTATACAATCAATTGCACATCGTACATTAAGTCCACCTACTATACATCCTATTCACAATACAATATCTCCTATGACAATACAAGAACAATCGATTCATTCCAATCGTAATCATCACCATATTCATTCAGGTCAACAACGTTATGATGGTGGTAGTCATGCATTAATTCATGGTCATGAATCTCGAAAAGGAGCTCATGTTCTTGAGCCAGCTCATGGTGATATTATTCTTAAACGTCGAACACCTTCACAAAAAACAATTGATGAAGATTATTCAATTACAGCTATTAGTTCTATGGCATTAACAAATTCTCAAGCTCATCGGGGTGGTAATCATCATCATCATCATCATCGAACAAGTGCATCTCGTTCTCGACATCGTCAAGAAATGACGCATGGTAAACGTACACCTAGTAATCATGAAAATCTTTTACACAAACAAAAAGGATCAATAACACCATCAGCTAAATCTTCAACACGTCGTCGTTGGCTTAAAGGACGAAAAGAAACACCTGTTGAAAATCTTCCTATTCAAAATAATAAACAAGAAATACCTACTACTAAATCAAATAAAAATCATAAAAAGAAAATTATTGAACAAGAAAAAATTGATCGAAAAAAGTTATCAAAATCTGATAAAGAGAAATTAACATCGGATAATAATCGTGTTTATGGTGTACCAAATACAAATTTAAATGAACAAATTAAAATTGAAGAAGAATGTCAATCTAATCATATTGATAAAAAAAATATTTATATACCATTAAAAGGAGAAGATATAAATCAAATGAAAGAATCTGAAATAAAAATTCAACAACGAACAAATAAAAAACATCATCAACAAAAATTATCCAGTACAGATGGAGAAATTTTAAATAAAGTTAAAGAAAATCCTTCTCAGTTCGTATATATTATTTAATATTTTTATATTCAATTTAGTTCTTGAGTTTATTTATAGATTTTCTCATTCGAAAGATAATCATGTACAACATTCTGATCATAATGATAATGATGATGATCAAAGTGGTGCCGATGATGTTTTTATTGAAGATGTACCTATGAAACCTATACCAAATCTTACACGTCATCAATCTATTGTTAATCATCCAAATAATCAATCACGTCGTTTTCAACAAACATCATCGAATACTCTTCGACGTCATGCAAGTCAATGTTCAGCCGATGAATTTAAGTCTGAACGAATTAATTCTAATACTCTTAAGAAAAAATCATCACCATTAACATTAATTACACGTAAAAATAAAATCAATCAAGATGAACAAATTGTTTATGAAGCACCACTTTCTGAACAAACACAAGCACCTATATGTAATACACATACATTAAAGAAAAAACGTCCATTTCATACAATTAATACAATAGGATCTAGTACTAATACTACACATAATACTACTAATAAACAAATTAGTAAACAAATTCTTCATGCTATTATGAATTCAATGAATAATAATCAAGAACAGATAATAATACCATCACAAGCATCACCATCATCAGTCAATGATGAATTTTTTGAAAATGGACCACTTACAAATCCTGAAGAAACTCTTACAAATGTTACAACTTCAAATTAAATATATATATTGAAATAAAAATAAACAAACTTTTCTTATATAATTAAATTTACTCATTATAGTTTTATGTTTAATAAATATGTTTAAAAAAAACTTTCAGTTTAGTTGATATTTACATTAAGCGACAATCGTTATGAGGTCGCACTAAGACAATCGCTTTGGATATATATCTAACCAATAATAATATCCGTCAATTTACCTTAAAAAAGAATATTAGATTTTCGAAATAAAGCTATTTTGTCTTATATATCTATTTCCCTGAATTATTCCTATAATATTCCATTTTTTTAGATGACGACGGCAAATGCATTAATACAACGAAAAGTTCGTGAATATGAAACATTTCTCAATGATCGTCTTCGTGCAGATTTACAACGTGCTTGGTCAGAACGAGATCGTCTTTTTTCTGATATAGCTGAATATGAACGTTTACGTGTTACATTAAATACACTTGATGAATTACATAAAAATCGAAAACCAGCTGATATTGATGATCCATTACAAACACAGATTGATCTTGGCTGTTCATTTTTTGTTCAAGCTGAATGTCTAGTAAATAATCGAATATGTATTTCAATTGGTTTTGGACTATTCTGTGAATTAACCTATGATGAAGGAAGAATTTTTATTGATAAAAAATTACCATATTTACGTGAACAAGAAGTTGAATTATCAAATAAAATTGCACATATTAAAGCTAACATTAAATTAGTATTAGAAGCATTAAAAGAAATACAAACTATTGATGATAAAAAAACCAATACAACTTGATCATTAGTTTAATTATATATGTTTTTGGTTTTTTTATATTTGAAAAATAAAAAGAAAACTTGTTTATTTCGTTTGTCTTTCAATTAGAAGAATTATCGAATGAGTTTTATGGAGGAAAATGACTATGATTATTTTTTTCTAATAGACGTACTTTATTCTAAAGAAAGATAACGAATATTTGTTTTCAGCATCAAAATTTTCCGTCGTCTAGCAAGGCGTCAATGTCATATTGACTATCATAAACATCCCTAGAATATGTTTTATTCTTAAACTTAATAGTACCATATGTTTATTCATTAGCTAATGTAAGAACTATGATGCTATTAATATATAATAAGAACCTATTTCATATACACACTTATTCTATCAAATGGAAAAAAGATTTCAGACAGGATCCTAACGCTGATTCATTTTACATCTTCATTTTCAGTCTAAGAAATTCTTCTGAATCAATCAATTTTATTTTTAGAGAACACTTGCTTTTTCTTTTGTTCAATATGGATGAAATCAAAATTTCGTATTCATTTCGATCATTTGAACACTCTATCATATTCGATACAAAACAGATCTATTCTTCATTTCGAATCTATGACAATACGAATAACTTAAGTTGATCGAATACAGAGAATGACTATTTATAATATTAATGATAATACACATCCGTTCTCCTTTCATTGATGACAATATGTACTATATGTGTGTGTGTGCAACGATTTAAATAGATAGATAAATCACGAAAGAAAAGAAGAATAGAAAGATAAATAAAATATTATAATCTCTCTCATTTGTTATTTATGACAAACAAAAAGATAAAGACACATCCGATCGATTATTTATGTTGACAAGAATTTAACAATCATCGACTATTTTAGTACAGGTACGCAATTTATTTATCTTTTTCAGATGCTTTCTATACGTCAATTTTCACATGTCATTTTACGACGTTTATATTCACCCATCGTAATTCGTTATCAATCAACTACAACTACGGATTTAATTAAAACTTCATCAACAGATATTGAACAAAAACCAATTCATGATTATACACCATGGGCAACATCCGAAACAAATCGATTAATTGATTATTTATCAGCTCGAATTAAAGCTGCAGGACCTATAACTATAGCTGATTTTATGCATGAAGCATTATTAAATCCAAAATATGTACGCCCTTGATAATATTTAGCCTTTCTCTTTCGTTCTTTTTTTACCTATACCAAAAAAATGTAAAAAAAAATACTTACTATCATTGCTATTTTAGGGTTATAACACGCGACATGAAGTATATGGTAAAAAAGGTGATTTAATCACGACATCTGAAACTACTCAATTGTTTGCTGAAGTATGCAAATTTTCTATTCATAATTTTTTTTTTGTTTTACATGATTCTATATATATTAGTTATTAGCTACATGGGTTATAAATGAACATTCAACAATAGGAGGAAATGTTTTACAATTAGTTGATATGGGACCTGGAAGAGGTATACTACTGAATCATATTATTAAAGTAAATATTTTAGTAGATAATTAAAATAAACGAAACCGTTTTTTTGTTTCCTAAGATATTAAAACAACGAAAATATTCTGATTCGTATACATTTTTTGCTATATATGAAATGAATCCATTAATGCGAAGACGTCAAGCTGAAACATTACTTGGACGATCGGTAAATTAAAATTTTAATATTATTTTTGGTAAGATTTAATTTAATTTTCAGTTTAATCCATTAATAGCAAATGATTATCGAGTAAAAGATGGTAATTATTCTCTTATATGGTTTGATGATATGAAACAATTACTTTCGAATAATACATATTTTATTGCAAATGAATTTTTTAATGTTTATCCAATACATAAATTTCAAGTAAGATTTTATCTAACAAAAAAAGTCTTACTATTGTTTTTTTCCTCCTCCTAAAGAAAACACCGCAAGGTTGGAAAGAAGTGATGGTTGATTGGAATCCATTAACAAAACAGCTTCATTATGTTCTATCGTTAAAGGCAACAACTATGAGTCGACTTTATGAAAATGTACAATTATTTATTAAACGAAATTTCTAATTTATATTTGATTTAATTTAGTTTCTTAAGAATATTAAAGATAGACAACATATAGAAATTAGTCCACAACGAGCAGCAATGGTACAAACTATATGTAGACATTTAACAAAGTATGGTGGTTCACTTTTAATAGGTGATTATGGTCATTGGGGTGAAAAAAGTGATACATTTCGTGTAAGTATACAAGATGTTAATATAATGGAAAAAATTAAACAGTTTTTCGGAAAGAGAAAGATGTCGACAGGTTTATTATGTTCATAAAATTCGGATTTAATAGGTGCAGTTCTACAGTTAGTAATTATCTAAAAACTTTCCATTGCATTCTACAGCGAAAAAATTGAAATCTAAAAGTGCTTCAAAAATGAAATATTTTTTCATATTAACTCGATTTCTAAACTTGTTTTTATTTCTCAAGGCTTTTCGTAAAGATGAATTGATCGATCCACTTTCGGATCCAGGTAATGCTGATATCATAGCAGATGTTGATTTTGAAGAATTATCAACACGTGGTATGGAAATACCAAATGGTAATATTCATTACCATTACTTTTTCTTATCTTAATTTTTATTAAACTTTTAGTTCAATTCTTCGGACCAATTTCTCAACGAAATTTTTTGTATAATTTAGGTTTAGATAAACGATTAACGGTATGAGATAATATCTTAATAAGAATATCTATTCAGAATATTTTTCTTTTTTTAGGATATCATACAAGATAAAACACCTGAAGAACAAGAAGATATTTTAAGCGATGTGGAAAAATTAGTTAGTGAAGAATTTATGGGCGAAAGATATCTTTATATGTGTGCACAAAGAACAAATAAAATAAATGTGCCTGCTGGTTTTTCTTCTTTGAATTAACTTGAAAAAGAATGAATAGAATTATTTTTGATTTTTTGAATGTTTTATTTTTTTCAGATGCCTGGACATTTTGTTAACGATATTCATTCATGTGTAGATGATTCACTTATTGGTTATGTTCGTACACATAGTCATTTAGAATTAGCTGGACGAGCAGTTATTTCACGAGCTCCATTACCATCAGTTGCTATTATTAGTGGAAATGGATCAGGTCATGAACCAGCAATGGTAAGATATAAGACAAATAAAGATTTACAGAATTTATATTATAATATTTAGGTTGGATTTGTTGGCCGAGGATTATTAAGTGCAGGTAAGTTTTTTTTCTCGAAAAGAAAATATTTCATATTGGGATATTTTTTTAGCTATATCAGGATCAATATTCGCATCACCGCCATCATCAGATATATTTCGTCTTATTGTGGAATTAAAACGTCGTGGTGCTAAACAAATACTTTTAATTATTCTTAATTATACAGGTGATCGACTTAATTTTGGTTTAGCTATGGAACGTGCTAGAGAATTAGCCATTGATATTGATATGTTAGTTATTGCCGATGATGCTGTAGTTAATAATTCTATTGGGTAGATATTGAACAAAATACGAAAATATTTGAATATTTCTTTCCTTTTCAGACCTCGAGGTTTAGCTGGATCATTATTAGTTATTAAAGTTGCTGGTGAATTAGCTGAACAAGGTAAAAATATGAGTGAAATTGTTGATATTTGTCAAAAAGTTCGAGGTCATTTACGTACAATTGGACTATCTGCTTCTGGTATCCGTGCACCAGGTCAACATCAATCATTTGAAGTATATTTAATAAATTTATTGTCTTCAAAATTTCGAAAATATTTATTTTTATCTAGTTAATGGATGATGAAATGGAACTTGGTATGGGTATACATGGTGAAAGTGGAGTACAAAAATTAAAATTATTACCATCACGACAAGCAATCGATTTAGCATTAAATCAATTATTTATTGGTCCAAGTACATTACATCTTGAACCAGAAAATAATGTACTTCTATTTGTTAATAATCTTGGTTTGTTCTATACTGATTTAAAATTTTGTTTTTCTATTATTATTCTTCAGGTGGTTGTTCCAATCTTGAATTGGGTATTATTGTTAAAGATGCTATTGAAAATTTAGAACGTCGAAAATTACATGTTAAACGTGTTATTTGTGGAGAAATGATGACATCATTTAATATGAAAGGTTTTTCATTAACTGTACTTAAAATATCATCGGATATGGGTACAACAGTTTTGGAGTTACTTGATGCGCCTACAGATGCTTTTGCTTGGCCAAAAACAATTAGTGCAACACAATCATCTAATAGTATTCAAGCTTTATCAGATTCTTTAGAATTTAATGATCAATTTAGTTCACAACTTGTTATAAAGTAAAGATTTGATGATTTCATAACAAAAAACTAAGATAAGAATTGTTTTATTATTATAGTGAATCGTATATATCCTTTGATTCATCTACTGCTGAATTAGTTCATCAAGCTCTTCAAGCAGTTGCAAAAAAACTGTATGCTGAAGCAGATAAACTTAATCGATTAGATGCTGTTTCAGGTGATGGTGATACAGGTACAGCATTTACTCGAGCAGCTGATGCAATAGCTCGTGATCTTGTTAATGGAAAATTATCTCTCGATCGACCATCATCACTTTTTCGTCGTCTTGGCCTTATTGCTGAAAGTCGAATGGGTGGAACATGTGGAGCAAGTAAATAAAACATTTTTATATTTTTTTTGGATATTTCATTTATTTTTCTTTAGTATGTGGATTATTTTTTGCAGCTGTAGCTAAACATTTATCATTAGCAAAGCAAACAACAAAATTAATTGAAAATCTTAGTGATGCATTTGAAGCTGGGATACAATCAGTTGAATCTTATGCACGTGTACAGCCAGGTGATAAAAGTTTATTAGATGCACTTATTCCAGCTGTTGATTATATTAAATCAAAACGTACACATCAAACATTTACAACTAATGATTGGAAAGAATTAGCAGTTGTTGCAGAACATGCTGCACAAGAAACGAAAAATTATATAGCTAAAGTTGGTCGAGCTTCATATACAAAAGCCAATGATAATAATGTACCTGATCCTGGTGCTTCTGCTATTGCCATTATTCTTCAAGCCATTAGCGATACATTTGCTAAAACATCTACTCATTAAATGTAATCTAATATACACATAAACATATTCCATGACATATATATATTATTTATTTATACATTCCTAGTCGTTTGTTTCATCTATTTCTTTTTAGGCTTTTAGTTATGTTGCAAACAAGCAAAAACTAGTTTTACATCTTTCTTTTTCTATTTTATTATTCATCAAATTGAATTTCGAATTTTAATTTGATGTATGATTTTTAATTTATCGACATGTGTATGTGTTTTTCATAATATCATATATAATAAACGAAAGTTTTGTGCGTAGCGTAAAATTAAATAATATTGCTTCTATAGTTTGAGTGTGGGACAGACCCACACCCACACAAATCTTATTGAATGCACTTGTTGCTCCTTATTAGTAAATCATAATAGATTGCTTTTCTGGCTATTATTATTCATCAGTTCGATTAAACAATCATTCTGTCGGTCTATAAAATAGAAGTTAAAAAGAATTTGGACCTACTATATATACATATGTCTGATCAGTTTTTAATTTACCTCTTACCTATCACAAGAATTTGATATAGTCTTTCTTTATTGCTATAAAACTACATTGTAATCTATCTGAATTGAAGCCAATGAAATACATTCTATCTGTTGTCATGATAAATAATACAAGTTTATTATATTTTCATTATCGATAAAAATTGAGAACTGTATGTTTATTTCTGATTGACGTATCCTTTGTGATGCCTCTATTATGCAAATAATATTTAATCATATAAACCAAAAAACTTTCGATCATTTATTTTAAAACATACACCTTTCCTATTCTCCTGCAATTTCATCAGAAAAAAAAGAAATACAAAATAACAATCAATATGATTTGGTTGCCATCCCAAAAAAGAAAACAAAGAGTTATAACAATAATCTAGGTATATATATATACAAACAAACATAGAATCGATATATTTTTTTTTTATTTGTATAAAATGGTTGGATTATTTCTTTTTTTTTATAATTCCGGTTGAACAACTTTTTTTATTGTTAAACCTAATTTATTAGGTTTGTTGGTTATCATAACATTATATGTACATGATGGATCAGTTTCTTGTGCTGATTCATTATCATTTATTGGCTCAGTTGCAGTTGATGATGAAAGAATATCAAAAACATTGGAATCTGGCTCAATAGCTTTTATAGAATTATTATTATCATTTGTATTAATTTTTTCAACAAGACGAGCCGGTGATTTTACTGATCTTGTACGTGTACGTCGTAAATCAATTGATGACATAAATAATGTTCTTAAATGTTGTTCAATTTGTTCACTAGTAATTATAGTTGTTAAGGATAAATCACTACCAACATCATCATCTTCATATGAACGTGCTTTTTTAATAACTCGTGTTGTTGTTGTTGTTGTTGTTGAACGTGGTCGTATACGAGATTTTCCATATTTATAACGTTGACGTTTTTTAGTTGATTTTTTATTATTTGTTGAGAAAATCATTGGAGATTTTAATGATTTTGTTAATGTTTGATCTTTGAAACATATTGTCAAATTCTTTTCATCCTCATCCTCATGATTATTAGTATCAACATGATTTAATGCTGCTGATGATTCATAACCTGATGAACATGAAGGTATTGCATCATCAAGTTGAATTTTTTCATCATTATAATCATTTGTTTCAACAATAACAAATGATGTATCAAGCTCTACATGATTTAATTCTTCAATTGGTTCGCCTTCTTCAACAGAAGCTACTACAGGCATTATGTCATCATCGTCATCAATAGCAACATTATCATTATTAGTGATTATCGAACAAATTACTTGATTATTTGGAGATTTTATTGGAATATCATTTACTATTGATGGAACCAATTCGTCAGGAAGTGGAAGTTCTGGTGATAGATGTTCCATGTCGTGAGAAACAGAATTCGTTATTGGATTAGTTTCATTGTCTGTTGATATTGGATTTATATGACGAGTTGTAGGCACTGTGGTTTTACGTTTTTTAGCACCTGAAATCGATATGAATATGTTGTGATAAAACTCCTTAGAAAGTTATAGACTCAAGAAAAGTAAAAACATCTTGAAATGAGTGAGAAAAGGTTTTTCGACTAGAGCTATAATAAATACCTGCTAATGTTGATTTGTTCATCTGTTGCTGTTGTGATTCATCGCCTGATGATGTTGATAACAGAGTCATGTTAATCGTTCCACTTTTAAGATCATTTAATAATTCAAGACATCTTTCAAGATGTCGTTGATAAATATAATAATCATTATCAGAATTATTTTTAACTATTTTCTTTTCTTCTTCATCTAATTTAATTAATGGTAAAAGTAAATTTGTTTGACACCATTGAATAAATATCTGATAATCAATATCAAAAGAAAATTTTTGAAAAATATCTTTAATAGATATTTTCCAATCACGTATTGGTATATCTGATGATTTAATAATAGCATTTAATGAATGATTATCGAGTATAATTGTTTTTATCTCAGGTTGTTTATGTGATGTAACTGATTTTGGTGATGGTATACCATAAAAAGATGGATGATGTATCATTGGATTAACAACAACATTTGCTGGTGGACATTTACTTGTTTTATGTGCTGATGGTGATCCAGCTAAAAGAAAAAGAATATTCTTTAATTTTAAAAATTTAATTGTTTTTTGTTTTATTCTAACTTGTAGATTTCGATGTTTGTGTAGCTGGTGAAGAAGATTTCGATAGTTTAGTTTTTTCATATTGTTGATGTTCATGTAATGTTCGAAAATGAACTGGTGATTGTAAATTTGAACATTTTATATTAAATATATCAACAAGTAAAGTGTCTGTTAACAATGGTGATGTACCAATAGAAAAATAAATAAATAATAAATTTAAATAATCAATTTCATATTGTCTTGGTGCACGTGCACTACGTTTAGCTTGTAAAAGTATATTTGGTAAGGATTGGAATGTATATAAAAGTGGAACATAGAAACGATTATTTTGTACAATATATGGAATAAGTTTATTTCCATTCATAAGTAATGTACCACCTTTATGCGTTAATACATTTGCATGATATTTATTAACTTGTGTTCGTGGATGTTTAGTTGGTAAAAATTTAATATATAATATACGATCGAGACCCATCATAACATGATATAGATTTACTAATAAAGTTTTTTCAGGTACTTTTTCATCAAATATATTAATATTTGTAATAAGATTATTTAGAATATCAAAATCATGTTGTGTAGCTTTGATAAGTAATTTTTTGAATGAAAATTCATTATCAGAGAAGATATTACATTTAATAAGAATTTCATATGGAACATAAAATTCACGTTGTAATTGTGGTGCTGGTTGACGTGTATGACATTTATTTAATTCATTTTCACGTAATTTTATTTTAACAATATATGGTACAAATACATTATTGATTTGTACCCAACCGGATTCTTTTGGTGATTTGGGGGATGATGTTAATTGTTCTGGTGAACGATTTGTTTGTAGTGAAACATCTGGATTTTGTGGTAATAATTGAGCTTTTGATTGTTTTTTGATAGGTGAAACAACTTGTGTAGGTACCTCAATTGATTGAGATTGTAAATTTGGTTTAAGTGGAACTGTAGATGTTGGCTGAGCTGATAGTGAAGGTGGGGGTGGTAATGGAGCAATTGGACGGTTAAATGTTGTTGACGATGCGGAATCTCTTAATCTACGTAAAGTATTGTAAAATTCTAGAAGATCTTCGAAACGAATGAGACAGTCAGTTGATGGAATAGTTTTGAAATTGAAACTTGCTAGATGCCATTCAATAATAAAACGAAATAGTTTAAGTTCATATTCTGTATACGAATAAGATACTAATGGTGGGAGTGAACGAGCCAACGCTAAGTGCCGTTGCCATGATTCACTTTGAAATAAAGTATTTTCAACATACATTTTCGATGTATAACGATTCTTGATACCACTTTCATTTCTTGAAAAAAAAAGCAAACACTAATTAATTATCTTTATAAATCAATATTATATCAAAACTAAGAATTATCTCTCTCATTTTCAATTAGATCTGTTTTATACCAGTTAATCTTTTCATAGATATATAATAAGTTAACAAGCTGCATTCTATGCATAAAATACATATAGACTATTTTTGATTTTAACAAAAAAAAGAAGTATTAATTTGCACATAGAAATGTCTATATAAATTGCATAATTAGTTTCAGAATAATCTATTTTTTAGTGAAATTCAATACCTGTATATAACTGGTACATAACGTCCTTCCATTTCTTCCCAAGAAAACTGATTTGCACGACTTGGCTGATCCATTGTTGATGATGTTCGAAGTTTTTTGGCTGGAGAATTTGTTAATGTAGTTGTTATATTACTTAATAATTTTGTCATTTCAATTGGATCAACTACATTTTGCTGAAGTGTAATCATATTATTAGATTGATGAATATTTGGAGCAACAGCAGTTGTAATTACTTCAGATAAATGAAGATTTTTAACCATAGCTGCATGTTGTTGCTGTTGTTTATTCTGAAGATTTTCACGTTTAATTGGTGAACTCATAGTTGATGATGACAAAGAAAATTGAAGATCATCTATATAATAAAAATAAATAAATTATATGCTATTCTATTAATTTCAATAGATAGTATTCATAGAATAATATTAAATATAAATGTTGATATAAAGAATTTAATTAAAAATTCATATGTTTGATTTTACTTGCTAATTTATTGATATAAACATGTAGTTGATAATGTCGAAATGGGATGGGATAGGATAGACAACTAATAACTTAAAGAAGTTTGCATTTTCCAATATTATACCTCTATCTTTTCTCTAGAATTCGTAATAATATGAAGATGTATGTAAGCATGCATGCGAAGTTTTTCCTTTTTTTCTCTTCGTCATCTCATTGCAAAGCATCGACATGATGATGAGAATGGGGCTAAAAAGGGCCCGACCCTTCTTTGCACTCTTCCGTTCTCTCGATAGCGATAACAGTAACGACGGTTACCCTTTTCAATCGCTCGCTTTTTCTCTCTCTACACACATCGAGAAAGCATATATGCCTTTGCTGCAATGTACTACACATAAAAGTGCGAACGAAAGAAACCTCGTGTAAAGGAGAGGAAAAGAAGAGACATAGCCGACGTCGGTCTTGTTCACACCGTTGTTATGTAGTCTGATTGGCCGTATATAGACAGTTTTCTATCTATATTAACTAAAATAATTGTCGCTCGAACTTATCTTTTCGTCACTGGTTACCAATAAGAATAATATGAATAATATTAGAAAACTGTAATGAAAAAAAAACATGACTACGACACTTTAATAAAAGAAAAAACTTAAATATTTCCTAAGCATGGAAAACCTGATATAATAGTAAAAATTTACTAAGAAAAATGATATATAAATCTATTGAACACTGTATATATATATATATAATAAGAAAACAACTTCCTTATTGGCCTATGTATAAAAATATGATAGAAAAAAAAAGTACGAGAAGGCACCTTAAATACTTTTCTGCCTTATTGTTTTGTAAAAGTACGCAAATGTATGCGTTTGTTTCTATTGGAAACAAACAGAACTATGTCAAAAACAGAGATTGTTTGTTGACAGCAAACATTTTTATTTATTCTTAATTATAGTTTATAAGCAGTTTTCCTTAACTTTCAACATGTTTTTCATAATTACTGTTTCCCAAAAAATATTAAATCTCAAGTAAATCTTCATTAGAAATATTTATTTTTCTATCTTTTTTTTCGTAAAAGAGAATGTTGTGTGAAAAAAAATTAAAACATTTACAACACAATCATATCTTTTGAAAAGGAAAGCTGAAAACAACATATATACACACGCTCTTAATAAAAAAATAATAAGTAGGACATTTCGTTTTTTACCCTTTCTATAATACGTCGGTTTCAGCAAGAAAAACAGACGCATTTTTTGGTTTTTATATTCCTCACACGCTCTCTTTTTTTTCATCCATTTTGATAACTCTATCTTTTCTGTTTATCTATTACTCTATTTAACCCACATAAACACATGACCAATTGAATACAACATTTTTCTAATGCTTACCCTTTTCATTCGAATGGTTAGATAGCATTTTTCGATTTTGTCGTCGTCGACGACGATGACTATCAACAGATACTATATCATGTCTTGATAAGTCCTCAATAATAGGTGCATGATTATGTTTTATTGTAAGAACAGGTAATGATCCATTGCCAACTAATTGATGTGCTCGACCATTACAATGTGAACGATCTTCACATCTCCAATAAATAGTACGATTTTGTATTTTATCTTGTACATAACGATGACCGCGATATATTAAACATGGTTTATGACGTTTTGTTTCAGCAAGTGAATATTCTTTTGATTGATTATCATGAATATTCGTCGACATATTTTGTAGAATTGTTTGAATACAAAATAAATATTATTTTCTAGAGTTTTTTAATTGTGAAAATAACTATGAACTTGTTAGGAATATGTTAATTATTCGACGAAACGCACATGCACTACCCTCTTGTCAACCCCACGAACGCACACATATAGTAAGAACGACTTCTCTCGTTCTCTTCGTTTTTCTTCTTCTTCTTCTTCTTTTTTTGTGATTCTTTTATGCGTTCGCACTTTTTTTTTTATAATATTATCGTTTCTATCGATCTATATCAGTGCTTGGCAACGATTTTTGTGGTAAACAATATTTATGACATTCTATTAATATTTAAAATCGATCGAAATATTTTCTAATCACTATTTAATTTATTTTCTTCATCAAATTTTCTGCATTTTTATTTGTTGTATATATATATATATATATTGGTATCTAGACGATTTATAATTTTTCGATTTTTACTGATGTTAGAAATGAATGCTAATCAATACATTTTCTTATTTGCTTTCGATTATTCAGCACGTAAAGAACCTCTATTATCCTTTCTTTTCTTCCATTTATTCGAATTTATTCTCCTTGTCGTTATCGTTTTTCTTTCACAAGTTTTATTGTATTGTGTATATATGGTGGTCTATAGAAAAGAAAGAAGAAAAAAAAAAAGAAATGCATAGAGAAAAATGTATGTTAAAGCGAGTAAAAGTCTCATTTGTACTTTTACGTAGCATTCAACATAGTAACTATATTAGCCCATACAGTGAGAGTACGATGTGAACGGACAGAACAAAATTGCTTCGCCGGCTTCTCTTGATGAAACAAGCAACGAGCATTCATCTTTATTGCGTTCTGTCGTCCCTTTATAACCATCCAATCAAGTTTGTCGTGCGAGTGTGCGGTCAAAAAAATCATCCGACCTATGCGTGTACTATTGGCAAACAGCCAACTATGGGGCAAAATGAGGGTAGAAGCAAGAAAAAAAAGAATCGACAAACAAAACGGCAGTTGTTTATCTACACATTTAAGTTACTAAATAAGATAATAAAAAAGAATATGTCCAAGGTCATACATCTGAAACTATATACTCAACATATATATACATACATTTATCGTTACGAATATCAAACATAGATATCCGGAAAAAGACTTTATTTTTTTCTAGAAAATATAATGTAATATGAAACTAGAAAAAAAAACATTTTCTTCACAGATTAATAATTAGCTCTAAATACATGAATGAATAGGGTAAAACGGATGATATACCTGTTAATTTCAATATAGAACAAAACTATATGAATGAAAAAATAATAAATTTCATTAGTATTCTAGAAATCGACCTGTTATATCGTTTAATTTAAAATAAACTGAAGATTGTCTCTAGTTTTTTTATGTAAACCATTTGTCGAGAAAAGTTTCTTTTTTTTTTGTTTCATTAAAAGTGTAAAATGACCTTGTGCTGTGTTCACGCAGACAGTAACAAGGACAACATAGCTTTATTGTATACTTATGTTTTATTCCTTAAAAACTTCATCTATTTATTCAGTCAAAATCTAAAATTTAAAACTAATTTTACTGAATATCATCAGTATATATTTTCTAAGTTTATATATGTTTATATCTATGAATAAAGTTGAGCTATGTTGTCATACAAATGACATTTGTGTAAAAAAAAAGAAACATTATATATAAAATATATGTTTGTTAGACAAATGAAATTTTTTTATTTATGGCCTTCAGGATTAATAGAACAAAAGGTAAGTTTTTCATTTAAAAGTCATAAATATAAAAGAAAAGAAAAGTGTAAAGGTTAGCATTCCTTACTTTTCTTTTTCTCAAAACGACGATAGATGGACGTTAATCAATAGCTGTCAACATATAGCATGACGATTATCCATGGAGGAGGATTGATTCAATAAAAATGACCGGTTGAATTTTCTGACTATTGTTAAGAAAAGAAGAAAAAAGTTTGTCGCGTTCATCTACCCATTATCATATTCTATGACTGATGATGCATTCATAGAAAATGTCTATTTCAGCTAATTTCTCATTTGAATCATCATCACCAGAGCTTAAAAAACGTTATTTATGTTCATATTGTCATTATCTACTTGTTCAACCAAAATTTATAGCCTGTGGTCATCAATTTTGTTCTCTTTGTCTTGAAAAAGTTATCAAGTATACTCTATACCAATGCAATTACTTTCTTTTTTTTTAAAATAATTCATCTTGTTTAGATCTAAATCATCAGTTTGTTCGGTAAACGATTGTGGAAAAGTTATCACACAAGAAGAAGTAAATAGCAAACAACAAACTTGATCACATTTATATATTATTCTCTCATATAGATTTATCCAAATATACCTATGGAAAGTGAACTTGAACATTTTAAAGACATCGTATGTCGTAATCAAGTAAATGGTTGTTCTTGGCAAGGAAATTATTTGTCTTATAAAGTAAATGCTTTTATTTGAAAGGTTAACAAACTAAAAATTTCTTTTTTTTTCTATTAAGGATCATTTACAAACATGTCAATTTGAACGATTTCAATGTGAATGTTGTTTAACAAGTTTTGCCCATCGTCTTTCATATGAAGAACATTATTCACTTTGTCCAAAAGCTCTTGTTGCTTGTCCATTTAGTCAATTCGGATGTAATACTCAGGTAATGTTTCAACAGAGTATGAAAAAGTTTTTTCTCTAGGATTTTCAGTTGAAAGAAATAATGAATATACTTTATCGCTGTAGAAATTATTAATTTTTAATAATAGTATGACAGACATAATTATCTAATCCATCTTGTTATGACAGTCATCAATGCATAATCATCAAATAGCTTTACGTTGTTAGATTTTATAAATCTGTTCGACATAACTATGATTACATCAACCGTCTCATTCGAAGCTGTTAGACATGATATACAATCGGATTAGGTATAGTGAATAACTATACCCATCACTTAAAAACTTGAATAAATAAAGATGCGTATGTTATTCAGTTGACAGAAAAAACGAAGTTATTCAAACTTAGCGAGATTTGATACAAAAAAAATTTCTACGACCTTATCATTCGATATCTGTTATTCAACAATAACTATTTATCTTGTATTTTCAAACTAAAGATTTGTAATTTAATCTATCAGTTAAAATACATATATTTTGTTTTTTTTATTGACATATCGTATAGCGAAAATTTTCTCGATATTTTTCTTTAGATTCCTCGTGAAACACTTCGCGATCATGTTATATCATCATCAGTTGAACATCTACAAATGATTGCTGATATTCTTTCAACAATTCAAACTGAATCAACTAGTACTACGTCGCAAGCATCTGCTGGATCTTCTTCTTCTACTGCAACAACAGTAGTAAGTGAAAAAAGTGAAATAAAATCTTTAAAAACTGAACTTATACGATTAACTCAAATCAATGAACATTTATGTACGGAACAAAAATCTTATCAATCAATGCTTACTAAACATGAACGAGATGTTAATCGTGCATTAGTTAATTCACAATTAAATAAAGGTGATATATGTAATTTAGAAAAGAAAATTCCATCATTAAAATCATATAATTATAATGATGGTACATATGTATGGATTATAGAAAATATTCAAGATTTATTTCATAATGCTAAAAATGCTCCTCAACCATTACATATTGCATCACCTTCATTTTATACATCAAATGATGGTTATAAACTTTCATTAAAATTATATTTAAATGGTGATAAATCTGTACGTGATACATATTTATCTTTATATGTAACAATAAGACGAAATGATTATGATTCATTATTAGAATGGCCATTTCGTTATCCTATAACATTTTGTTTATTTGATCAAAGTACAAAACATGATCATGTTGTTCGAACATTAACACCGGATATTGATAGTAAATGTTTTCATCGACCAGAAATGGATTCCAATGTAAGTGCTGGTATACCAGAATTTTGTCCATTATGGAAAGTATTTAGTAAAGATTTTGGTTATGTTCGAAATGATAAAATGTATATTAAAACATGTGTAGATTTTAATATTTTTCCAGCAAAAGTTTGGTCACATTGGACAAAATTACAATCATGTGGTTTACCTAATCATATACAATATATTAAATTAAAAGAATTATTAGATGATAATGAAGAGTGAAAATATTGATTTTTTCTTTTGTAATAAAAAATATAATTTCCAATATAAAATCTATAAAATTCTCATTCAATCTTTAATTTAAATAAAAATCAGAATTGATAAATTGCAGCTTTAAAATTCTGTTCAAGAGTTTTTCAATATGAAAAAAGTATTAAATAGTCTGATTATAGATGTACAGGATTGACTTGAAAATCTCGATAAATATTTTACAAATTATCAATTAAAGAAAAATTCAGAGAAGATCACCTTGATGGTGGGTTTGGGCTCTTTCTATACCGACTCGCACACCCTCAAGAAGAGTAATGAGGACTAAGGACATATCTGAATGAGAGCGAGGAGATTTCGGTGTGACTGGTGAGGTCGCAGACTTAATTAGAGTGAGTAATTGTGATAAACCAAAGGTGTAGAATCTGCCGCTGAAATAAAAAATTTCCTCCACTGAAGAGTTCAATAAAAAAACGAGTCATCCATATTTAAGATCATGTTTATTCAAAAAAAGGCAACTACGACTAAATAACAAAATGTAGGTACACTTTAGAAAATAAAAGAATCTTATTCTTCAATATCGTCTACATAGTACTATAGAGAGAATGTTGGTGGTGATGATATGATCTTACGAAATGTGAAGATCATAACAAAGTTTTGTATCATAAATTCACACAAAGAGCAAAGTGCAGAATCACCATAAACAAAAATAGATGATATTGGGTACGAAAAAGACACGGACAATTCTTTTAGAAGCTTACAAAAAAAGAAAGAATAAAAAATGTGCAAGGTCTTATTGGTACAGATATAAACAAACTAAGATCTGTTTGAAAAACTAAGATTTTTTTTACGAGGGAAAAATATTTCCCCATATGACCATATGTGCAGACGAATAGAGTCTGAACCTCCGATTACCCATCATGTTTAATGTTTCTAATTGTAATAAATTTAAATCAACATCTTGAAATTTTTATTGAGGATGAACATAGAATGCAACACAGTCACATATAAATTTTACTAAACCAAGAATACCAACTAATGAACCAATATTTAATGCTAATGTCATTAGATCAAATCTACCAGCATAACCACTAACCTACAATAATAAAAAATGAAGTCAAATATCTGTATAATCTTTTTTTTCTTATCAAGTAAAATCTTAATTAACTAATATAATCTTAGAAAAGAATTATTGAACTGTAAAGGTAATTCTTTTAATATGTCATATAGAATGAATTAGTGAAGTAAGTAGTAATAATGCTCATTAAACCGCTTACGACAATGTCGGGTGAGATAAAAAGCTCACATATAGTGATGTGCGTTCGTGCGTGTAGATGTCTTTTCATTAGCAATGAATTAGTGAAACAATGCATATTATTTAAACTAAATTATTTACAGAAATAATAAAACGAAGACCATATGCTTTCGTTAATGTACGATAAGATCGATTTTGATGTTTCCAATGTGATGCAAATCTAAATAGGTAAATAAAAACAAATTTATTATTATTATTAAAAATTTTCATTTTACCTAAAATTAAATCCATGTGCAAACGATTGTTCTTTATCTGCTGCATCCAAACGTGTAAATGAATATTCTGGTAAACAAAAATCTAAAGATTTATCTAGATTACAATTCCAATCAATTTTAACACGTATAACAGCACCAAGTTTTAACATATAATGTTGTTCAGTTGGATTACTTTCAACAATATCAAGTAATGTTCCAACACGAAATACAGGACATGTTTTATGAGTAACACTATCATAATTACAACTTCTTAGATAATTGGCATCAAGTTGAAAATTTTTTCTAATAACTTTAAAACGTGGAAATTCAATAAAATTTTTCACATATATTGTAAAATTTAATGCATCACGAATTGGCTCAGGAAGATAAACATCATTTTCAACCGGACACCAACCTTCAAGTTCACATCGACCTAATGGTGATCTTGATCTATTTGCTGAACTATCATTTCTAAATAAACAACGACCTATTTAAAAAGAAACAAAAAAAACTAATGGTGATTTGTTTTGTTGTATTTACCAGTCCATTTTCCATTAGCCTAAATAAAAAAATCAAAAAATAATTTATATAAAACGAAAATTTTTTAATGTTTACTCTTCGATAATTTTTAGTCTGACAATAAGCGTTATCTGGACAAGCTGTTTTTTGATCAAAAGGAGATTCTAAAAAAATTAAATATTTGATTTCGATTGTATTTCGATTTTAATTTTTACCTTCACATCGTGTATATTTTTGATCAGTTCGAATAAAATTCGTCATTAAAAATAAAGCATTATTTTCTTGTGGTGGTGCGATATAATCTAATTTGAAATGATAGTAATTAATTAAATATATATATATTTATTTTCTTTTTACCTGCACCATCAATAACTAATGTATGATTATCATCTGTTTGAATAGAACCAAGACCCTATGAAAAAATATTTTCATAACTCATGAAAATTGATTTTTCTATTTACTTTAACTCTTGATGTAACTGATGAAATGATTGATGTATCTATTGCTTGATAACCTTTTTTATATATCACTAAATATGCAATACCAAAGATTAAAATAAGTAATTGAATCAATCGATACATAAGAGCGAGTAAGAGAGAGAGAGAAGATAATATAAAAGAATATTATTATCAGAGGTGTAGAATCTGTTGCTAAAATAAAAAATTTCTCCTCAATATGGAATTCAATAAAAACACGAGTCATCCACATTTAAGATCATGTTTATCCAAAAAAAAGGGTAGCTACGACTTCATGACAACTTGTAGGTACACTTTAGGAAATAAAAGAATCTTATTCTTCAATATCGTCTACATAGTACTGTAGAGAGAATGGTGGTGGTGATGATATGATCTTATGAAATATGAAGATCATAACAAAGTTTTGTATAATAAATTCGCACAAAGAGCAAGAACGAAGGAAAAGTGGTAAGATGCAGAATCATCGGAAACAAAGATAGATGATATTGGGTACGAGAAAGACATGGACGATTCTTTTAGAAGTTTATAAAAAAAAAGAAAGAAAAAAACGTGCAAGATCTTACTGATGCAGAAATAAATAAACTAAGATTTTTCTTATGAGGGAGAAACATTTTCCTAGGAGGGAAAAATATTTCCCAAAAACTTCCACGTACAACCGTACACATAGACAGGTAGATTCTGCACCTCTGTGATAAACCTTAGTTGTAGTCAAAAACTCTATTGTTACTGTAACACCTTCTGGTTATCTTGTGTGATCGATATGCGACGCCATTTGTTTCTCTTCTTACTAGTTATACATCTAGCTATATCCTTCCTTCCTCTTGCAGCCGACTATATCACTAATTAGTTAGAATATTTATCATTAGCCCCAAATTGATTACCAGAATCAATCCCCAAATTAAAATATTCAATAGGGATTTTCATTCGAGGATTTTTTCGATATGAATATGTATTATATATTCTGCCGTTCAAGATCGTATTACCAAAAATAAA